CTGCTGCCTGTTTCTGTCCTCAACCAGGTATTCAGCACCTTCATTCCCAATCCTGCCATTGAGGTGGTTTTACCACCAAGAAGAGTTCATATCCTGACAGTATAGTCAAGGGGGGCAGAGAATTGGGTACCAGTTTTTCCAATTACTTTGGTTTTGTAGGCATCTGCACAATACCATTGTGTTTCTCTCTCCCTCATGCACACACACACACACACAGAAAAAATGAAAGCCAAAAAAAATGCAGACTGATGTGATAGGTGGTAAAATAATAATCTGATATTTGCTTTGAGGCTAAACAAAACTGATAGCTCAAGGAGAGAGGGAGGCAGCAAGGTGGTGGGAGAGTTGGCACACCCATGGTAAAATTTCAGTGTTGCATCTGTTTGCAGTTTCTGAAGGGCCGATCGATCAAACCTTGGGCAGAGCACAATCAAGATCTCTCTTGAACTGCCCACATGGAAGTGTCCAGAGAGAGAAACTGCCCCCAAATGACACTGCACAACCGCTGAGGAAACCACTGCTTCCACTGAGCAATATCAGTATCCCACACGCCTTTCTTGGCAATCTCTGCCAGACCAGTTTAAGAAAAACACAAATCTGCTGAAGAGATTCAGGTCAAGAACCATTAACATCAAGCACGTTCCTGGCGTACAAACACTCATTCTGCAGTCTCAGAGCTGATAAGTTTTAGGTGGAGCCCGGCCTGGCTGGCTCCAGAGACCCTCGGCAAGCCCTGCTGCTGGCTGCCCCTCTGCTGACAACCCAACCTGAGCAAAAACAAGGCCAGAAAGAACAACTCCAGGGTGGCAGGAAAGAGGCCAAGGAGTCTGATAGACACTGCAGGACTGACCCACAGGCTGTCTTCTGCTATATCTATTGAGCAACTGAGGGCTGCCCAGCCTGGGAATGTATGTGTCTGCTACAGAGCAGCAGAGTAAGCTGAAGTAAGATAGCATTGGAAGAGAAGTTTCTCGGTTATTTAAGAAAGACTAATCTGTAGGGTTTTTAATTACATTTTATTTTAACTCTCATGGCATCTTCTACCATCTTTTGCCTGCCATCTCTAGATTTACTAGCTCTGCATAAGCTTTAAAAAAACCCAAAACATTATTTTTTGCCCCAGACGGTTTTTCTTGACTATTCTATGTTTCCTTGGTGGGATAAACATGGGAAGAGAATCTTTCCACCAATCCATCTAGTTAGCTAGCTAGCTAACAGAAGGTTATTTAATGGCAATAGAGTTAATTTGAGCAAAGTAATTTTAACAGAAAATAAAGAACAAGGAATTAATGACGTTGACCTCTCCACATTCCAAAAAGTAAAATGTGTTGAACCATTTTACAGGTTTTTCTTTGGTTTTTTGTTTTTTTTTTTTCATTTGCTACCAGGAAACTATGGAAACTGTTTAAGTTGGCTGGCCTCCTGTTACTGGCCTGAATGATGTTGAGAAGAGAGTTATGCAAATTGATTGTCTTAATCACAAAGCATTAAAATATATCTGCATTTTATTTAAAAGCAATGGAATCCACTGAGGTATTTTTAGATTTTTGAAACAGAAATACAGTCTGCAACAGAAATTGAAAGAAGCAGCCAGATAACCTAATGGTTTCTATTAAGGAGCCCATAGGCAACAGTCCTCCAAAAATAAAACCACCTAATCTATGCACTATGTGTCATATCCCCAGCTTGCAGTGATAGTACTCAAGCAATGTGAAGTTAAGCACATACATAAATCTTGAAGCAAAAAGATCTGCAAGGTCTTTGCAGCAATGGCATCTTTTTACTCGGATTGTGCGGTCTGTCCCGTGGCATGGGACTTGGAAACTTGGTGACAAACCCTACTGCCATACACCAAATAACAGTAACCTGTGGCGGTTTATCAACTTAAGGTACGAGGTACATCAGTGCACAGAAACAGGCACTACTTGAACACAAACAGAGTAATATTTTAGCCTTGGAAACCTAACACTGGTCAGGCAAATCCAAAGAAATGCTGTAATGGCAGAACAAGATACATTATTTATCTGCTGCACAAGGTACACACACCTTAGATCTGTTTAGGCAAACCTCCCCTCGCACAAGGAGTAAAGTATAGTGAAATAGGTGGGATTAAAGGGTTCTCCAGTTCTTCAGGGAGAACACCTGAACTGGCACCAGACATCAGCCTGAGCAAGGTGTGCCAGCTGCTGAGGTAGTCCACTCTGCTCTCTTCCTGGAGCAGGAGACGAAATGTAATTATTCATGTATTTCTGCTTTTCTGTGATAGTTAATTGTCACCGTATTATTCAGAGGTAGTCATTCCACTCCTCTTAGGCAAAGCATTAAAACCAGCGTTCTCCAGACTACTACTTCAATGAACATTTAAAGGAGAAGGAAGGGGAGGGGGTTAAAGAGAATTGTCACAGAACAATTATGAAGGCAATTTGGAAGCAAGTCTGGAAACAACCTTGTAACAGAGCCAATAGCTGATTCAAATTGTTACATGTCTCCTTTGATCACCTGCTAAAACACACTTCTAATTAGCATTTAATTGAGTCTACAGTTTAGCACATTATTAAACACCTGCTTGAGGATATTAATTTCTATTTCTGATGACACGCTCTCCTGTGCTGTAGTGCGGATCTCTGCTTGCTAACAGAAGGAAATACTTGACAATGGACGAGCACCACTCCAGCTCCCAAAGAAGAACCAACTGTTTTATCAGCATCACACCATGATTTCAATCCAGAGCATGCACAGATGCATAAACACTTGAAAGAAACTAAAAGATTGAAAATTTTTATACACGCCTTTCACAGGGTTTCTCTACTTAAAAGATGTGATCTCTTTTCTCTTACACCTTGCACCTATAAGCAAAAATAAATTAATACTCAGAATTTTGCAACTTGCCCTTTGAAGTTAACGTAACAGGTAGAGGAAATGCAGCCCTCACCTGTCCTCGAAATGGAGAATTTCAGGTTATACCTATTCCAGCAAAAGGAGAGATTGCTAGTGCCACCTCTTGGTGAGAATAGCACAGAAAGCCACTCATTTGCATAATCCCAAAGCAAGGCATAATTGGAAAAACTATGTGTGCTTCTAGGAAGCACTGACCACTCTCTCTCTGATCACAAAACACTTACAAGCACCCTTCATTTGAAATTAGATGTTTGTCCTATTTAATTGAATGTGATGTCTTGTATGCCTGCAGTTAAACTTGTGCTTAAATGTTTGGCTGGATTGGCACTAAAACCCAATTCGATGAAAGTGTTAAAGAAGTTAAATCCTATGTAAAATGATTAACTTCCACTGAAACTGAGAAAATGTTGGTTCCCAAACTTTTGTAGGTTTTTAAATATCTTCATTGTGCTGTGATCCAAATACCTTGCATGTTTGAACCCTTCAATAGTAGTCTAATGCTAATGCAATTGTGGAAGTCGAGTGTTAATCATTAAGATTGTCTCAGATTTCATGATTTGGGAAGAGCTTTGGATAAATGAGTCAACATACAAACTTGTAACAGTAAGAAACACAGTTCAAAAGAAAGCTTAAATATAAAAGAGGATTAGTTGAGTGCCACATCAGCATCAAGTAAGCTTATATGGTGTCATTTATATTTTACCCTGTAGAAATATCATCTGGAGAATGCTGGGCACATTTGGCTTGCTGAACTGAATCTATGAGTCAACATATAATAACAGAGATTTGACCTTCCTAATGGAAAAGTCTTTAAGATTATTTCCGTCGAATTTCAAAAGAAGCCACACAGGGGAATCACTGTGCATGGAGGAAAGCATGGAAATCTCTTCCATGAGAAAGTGTGTGAACTTTGCAAGACATTGTCTGCAAGGCTTCCCTCATAAAAATTAAAAAACAATTATTGCCTCTGGACATTGCATGCATGAATAGTAGTGAACTGTAAATAAACCTAAATAGCAATACAAAATAACAACTCTGCCCTCCATTTTCAAATAATGATGTAGAAAAAATTGCTTTATGCCTACATGTTTACTAAAACATATATTGATTAAAAGTATACAAACTCTACTAACTAAGCAATGGTCATGGCAAGCTTTATTCTTGTAAAAAAGTAAATATTTAAATGTCATAGTAAAGGAAGACATGTTAAATAGAAGTAAGAAAGCTGTCCTACCTTGTTTTAGAATGGTTTTGTCTACAGGGATACCACACCCATGTAATTTTAGGCTGAGGAATACCATACACAGTGCATGTCAGCACTTGTTTGCTGCTCAGTAAATACAGATTGGGATCAGGAAATGATGACACAGCATTTTCATATATCTGGGGTTTCACTGTAAAGGGTAAAAATTGGAAAGTAATTAAACCCAGCTCATTTCTAATGTACTGTATGATCATGAAAATACTACATTCCTGCAGGACGAGTAATAAGAAAAATTCCCAGGAGAACAAAGAAAAACAGCAGGCCTAAGTCAAGTCAGATGAGCAGTTAGTAACACATTTAAGTCATCAGGAACAAGTATGTGACCATGGAAGACAGAAACCCTTCTAATGGAAACCTCTGTCCATCTTCTGAATCCAAGATGGGTCTGTTACCCTGCATATGGGGCTTGGATTTAGGTCCATGAAAGTCAGTAAGAAAACCCACAATGACCTGAACCATGCAAGATGAATGAAAATCTAGCTCAATGAAAATTTAGCATTTACATGTTCAGGAGAAGCGTGGGAACATGCTGTAAACGTACCATTTACTGTAAGAGTGACTGTAAGATTCTTAGACAAGTTCCACTGCCGTATGCTCAATATTATAGTGTAGTTTCCAGCATCTTCCTCAGCAACATCCTTGATGACTAAGGAATAGTCTTTAACCATGTACCGGGCACACTTTTCAGCAGCAGGTAGCCCATCTTTTAACCTGTTTAAAAGAATTCCAGAAATCAAAACTTTGAAAAATAATGTTGCTTAAACTACCTGCGTTATTTCATTTTATAACATTTCTCAGTCTTTGGGCAAGGAATGAATTTACAGTCTCAGATTCTGTTTACCAGAGGCTTATCCTTGCCTTATAAATAAGATTGCTGATATTTTAAAGCACTTTGGAGAATGTCATTCTATATATTAAAATTGATAAGGATCTGACAGGGCTCTATAATATTTGAGAGTTGCTGAAAATTGTAACTTTGTCTCTGAAGATCCCAGTTTTCCATGTTTGTGCTGCCATTTAGTCTAGAAGACAACCATTTTGGCTAAGAGTCATTCACACAAATAAAGGTTGCGTCATCCAGCACTGACCATTTCTTTATGACCTCAGAACACATCCTGGGACAAAGTATTACAGTAGCCTAAGCACAGCTGTGATTTTAGGAAGAGGAAGAGTAAGTAGATGAGATAAGCACTTAAGAATCAGATATCCTGCTATCAAGTGAATGTTTTTAAAGATAACAAAAAAGCAACATAGAAAGTACTAACTGTTGCTCACACACAGATTTCTGAAGAAGCATAACATTTTTCTTCAAAGTCTAAAAACAGCATAAAGCACATTTTGGTAGGTTGCTGTATGAAGGTTGACACAACGTTAGTAGAAGAGTGCAACAGAGTTTCAGTATGATGATGGACTTGATTAAAATGATTCACAGGTTTTAGTAAGTATTTACAGAAAACTTACAGCTATTAAAGAAGCACTAAAAATAGGATCTAAGGACTATGGATTTAGGCATTTCACTACATCTGTATTTTACAGAACCACAAAATAGTTGAGGCGGAAAGGGCCTCTGGAGATCACCTAGTCCAATGCCCTGGTCAAAGCAAGGTCAGCAGGTTGCTCAAGACCATTTTCAGTCTGGTTTTTAATATCTTCAAGGAAGGAGACTCCACAGCCTCTCTGAACTGCTCATTCCAGTGTTTGACCAACTTCACAGTGATAAATAAAAAAAATAAATAAAAATTCTTGTTCAAATGGATTTTTTTTTTTTTTTTTTGTATTTCAGAAGTTTTGGATCTATATGTGTATTCAACAAGCCCAACCATTAAAAAAACAAAATATTGTATAAATGGCTAGCATCAGCTTCACTTTCATCCCTTAATTTTCCATGTGGAGCTATAAATGTAAGGGATTTGTAAAACAAAACAAAGTGTTTGGAGCAAAAGTAATTTCTGGCTCTGAGTAACATGAACTCTCACTGTTCATGTATGTATGGTTTGTTCTCTTAATCAGTTTTGGCATAGACCCTTTGTTAAAGTGCAATGAATTGAGCCAGAGCTACTGGTATTTAAAATGATTTAAACAAAAAACCCTTTGAGATCAGGAATAGATAACATTGTTTTATATAAAAGTGGTTTGGGTTAATACAAAAAACTGTTCAAAAGATTCCTTAGCACAGTATATGTGAGCCAAAGTGAAAGCTCCAGTCACTAAAGTATATCTACAACCTGCAGATCACCATATAATAAACACAATTTCTATTGCTTTTCTAATAGTGCATGTCTGTATGGCTCAACTCAGTTATTTTAATGAAAGCCACCTTTTCTTTCTCCTACTGTCTGAAAAGCAAGTTCAGGTCTCATATCTAGGTCTGAGTGAAGCTGGATGCAAAACTTCAGTCAAGGTTGGTAGAGATATTTAGCTGTAGAGAGTCCATTGATTTCAATAGGAGACATATCTAACATATTTGAGGATCTGAGCTTTAAACTTTCCAGACCTCCTTTTTTGCACTTGCAAAAAGGAGATAATGTTCTCATAAATTTTTAAAGCCGAGGACAACCCTGAAACTTCTGATAAAACTCCACAACTGTATTGTCTCCAGTTTGTTGCCATTTCAACGGGTCTTATCTGAATATTTTACCAAGACAATCTTTTTCACCTAAGAAGAGGTTCAGTGTGCATATGTGGAAGTAACTGTTGTCCTACCATATAACCTCTGGAGAGGGAAATGCCTTCACTTTCATTGACAAACGATAGGATTTTCTTCCAGCTACAGCCTCCAGTGCAGTTTTTCTTCGACGTTTCAAATTAATGAACATTTTATCTTAAAGAAAAGAAAAAGAGTGCACCTACATTACTGATTTTTCAGCCTGCAAAACCAGTTGCTCTACTAAAGAGAACAGGAATCCAAATAAAAATGACCCTCAATAATTTTGGTGTTCCCACACGGCAACAGCAAGAATAAAGACTAACCTCCTAAAGATCTAAAAAATATAGAGAAGAATACCACAAATATACAAGAAACTGAGATACAGTTCCCAGGCCATGAATCTGCCTGGAGAAGACATGCTCTAGCCAAAATTCATATTGTGCTTCAGTCAGATAAGAGGCACTGGTTTCAACACAAGAGAGAGAAGCTGGTTTGCGGTACATGGGAAGCTGAACTAGACGAGCAGATGACCACTCCACCCCTAAAGGCCAAGTATCAATGAATGTTCCAAAAGAAAATATTCTGCCAGAGAGGATTTAAGGGACCTTCAGAGAAACAGCAAAGGAAAAAGCAGAAACTTTCTGTATCATTGGTAAACAGCTGTTTCATCAAACAAACAAATCTTTATCACTTCATTGGAACAATCTCAACCTGCTGGAATTTATTCTTTTCCAGTTGTACTGCCCCATATTTCAAACTCTCTGGCAAGTTGATGGGTTTAACCAGAGGCAATAAAACAGAATGTTCATACAATATATTGAAAAATCTTTTTTTTTTCTTTTTTTCCCAAAATGCACTTAAGCAAAATAAAGATTTCAAAACATGAAAAATTGTTTGAGTGCCCTTTTGATAGTACCTATTGTGCAGTATTTACTTACATTATGGACTGCATCAGGATATTGGATATCTATTAAACAAGTGAAGTATTTAATCAGACTTGCCATGTACATTGAAAATAACATGCACAAGACAAATCAGTAGTTTAATTACACAAGTCAGGTTATACTTAAAGATACAACCCTTATTCTGCAAACCCTTATTCACCCAGGCTCTTTCTAACATGGATATCCCATAGATGGAGCTGTTTATGTGAATGACAGTTTACAGGGTAGCTTCAACAGTTCCAGCTTCTCTGACTTTAATTTTAATCTAAAACTCAGTTTCTGATAGCTTCAGATTTATCTGTTCAAGAATATAAGAAGCTGATATCATGATTCATCTTATGTTCCTAGCGACTTAGTCCAACGTTTAAACAGAGAAAATGGACTAAAATACTCTCTAAGAATACCATCATCTGGTGCTTAGTCCATACTTCCAGATGAGAGAGAAAAGGTAGACCACTGAAAAGATAGAACAAATCAATATTCTGACCATGACACATCTGTTGTAGAGGACACCCGCAACCACTTGGTCATTAATACCAATGATGCTCCAAAGATCCTGGCTAGTCCTGATTGTAACAGGATGCCACAGAGAAGGTAGCTTCTTATAGAGTCCCAAGGCACAAAAGTCCTAATTCATGTAAACTTGAAATAACACAAGGAATTTCTATATCTCTCAGGAAGCCCAGGCAGACCACAGGGAACTCGCTGAAGGCTCCGACTGTAAAACCACATTAATGAGTTGCAGTATCTTGTGCTTGTTTCAGTTTTTTGAACAGTCTAGCAGCTACCTGCTCCATGTAGAGCTAGTGTATTTATTCCTTCTTCATTTTTCATAGGAAACAATAAAGAAGTACTGTAGAAGAGGAAGTGAGATTCTTCTGTTTTAATTCAGCTTGTACTTCCCCCCCCCACCCCCCAAACTGCAGTTTAACTGATTGCTTCTGCCAGAACTGACTGAGGACAGGGTCATCACAGTAATTAGCAGACAAGAGTGATCAAACTGAATATTAACATTTCTACTGCCAACAATACAAAACAGTCATGGAAGAAAAGGCACATATTCTCTCTGGTCTCCCTCCTTTTTCTACCAGTGATGAACATGCTATAAATTCACTTCCACTTTGCGTCAAGCTATCATATGACTGAACTTGGTACATGAGCATTCAGTATTCTACAAATCTGCAACATTTCTTACCATAAACAATGACTGTTGTGTTAACAGCTTTGATTGATGGCCCACTCTTCACGTGGCAGGTATACTGGCCTTTATCGATATCACGCACTTTGTCAACAACGAGGATACTGTAAAAAATATTGGCTTCTGTATTCTTCTGGTCAATGCGCTGTGTTACAGAACCTCTCCTCCTTGCCTATAAAAGCAAAAATGAACAAGAAGGAGCTCAGTCAAACCAATTTTCATGATCATTAAGATTTTATCTTACTGTACTGCCACCATACCTTAATAAAAAAAATCCAGATCCCTCCGTACAGCACAGACATGCAAAAGATGCCTTACATTTCCAGAGGGTCAAAAATAAAAATTAGAAGTAACATTATATGGCAATTCATTCCTTTCTTGGCCAGCTCCCCATTGCGCCTTGTCCAGCATTGCTCATAAAAATCCCCAGAGTCACTGGCACATAGTTTGGTGCCTGGATTCAGTGTCCATAGGCAGCAGACATGTAGAAGAAGAGGGCATTAACACAAAGGGGAGAATTCTGGAAACACTATAGACGGAAAAGGGGCTAGATTTGGCAAGGGAATGACATGGTGGAACTGAAGATAATGTGAGTCTGAGGAGTTATTTCCTGCAACTCCCCCTCAGCCTTTGGCCTCAAAGTTTATCTAACCCAGGACATCATTGGTGTCTTATAAACATTGAGCACCCTCCAGTTACCATCCAAATAAAAGCAAACCAAAATTTCACGAGTGAGGTGCCCAGCTAGGGCTTGGTAAGGCAGCAATGAGCAATATAATATATTTGGAACATTTCTTATTGCTAAGTTGTTTATTTCTGAGGTGAAAAAAATGCCAGAAAAAATGGCTACAGCATGCAAGAAACAATTGCATTAATCTTCCCTATATAATGTAATCATAATTTCAGCTTGTGATTAGGCACAATGAGTGACATAATAAATGATCTTGACTTGAATCAGCAGCATAAATCAAACTGACATGAAAGGAATGGGAGTTGTAAACCTTAAACTAATGTCAAATTTCTTATCAGCTTTACACGGACTCCCTGGCAGTTATTCTGTAAGCGACAAATATTTATGAGGATGCTCCCAATGTGGGGGGAGGAGAAGCATATTCAAGATCATTCCTGTAGTTGTCAAAACAAGAGGATTGTTCATGTGGCACTTAACAAATGAGATTTTGGCTAGCTAAATCAAAATATCTTTTCTAAACATGCTTGAGTCAGGTGCCTGACTGTCTGCCAGTCTTTGAAATGAATGTGTTGAGAAAGACAGCCTCGCTGAAAACTTTTTTGTCACAAGAGAGAGTCCCTGCCTGGGTCTGGGTGATAAATTTCTACCATTTCTCCAGGTTGAAAAGAAGCTCCCAGGGATGAAACAACTCCAGCGTTCACTCACAATTATGCAATATAACCAAAGTATATTGTGTAAACATGTTTACTTATTCAATTAGGCACCAGAAAGAAAAAAAAGAAACTTTTAAAGACATGTCAGCAAGGGTCAAACCGATGGAATGCGAACCATGGCAAGCATTTCGAGGCAAAATTCCTCCCGGGATGCTAGATGCAGCATCATCTAGGGGAAACCCCTAGATTCTTCATTTCAACCACAGCACTCACCTCTCCAGGATAAGTCCACGTCATCTGCACTCTGGTGTTCCAGGCTGCAGTGACAGTGCAGTTAATTGCCAGGCTGTCTCCTTTCAGCAACTTGACAAGACGTGGGGTGCTTAACTGAACATCAAAAATTGTGTTGGCTGCACATGACAAAGAGAAAGAAAAGTGATTAACGTCACCAGGGCAGAGTGCTTTCTGAAAGACAGGAAGTGGAGAATACTACTTACTTTCTCGGTGCGTTAAGTACTTTGTGCTATACTTGTGTCCACCAACGGTTGTCTCACAGCTCAGGAGCCCTATGAATTTGTAGGTTGCCTTAGGTATTCTGAAGCCTTTCATGCTGTCCCAGATTATTGTCTTGCCATCAGGAATTAGAGTTTCTCGTGGAATCTGGAAGTGTCAAACATGCATCATAAAAACAACTCATCCTCATACCACTCTCTAATCAAAGCAGCCTAATAAAAAGGAATGGGAAAAAAACACCCTAAAAAATGCCAATCAAAGTAGAAAGGATGACGTTTAATTGTGCAGATTTTTCAAGTCACATTTTCATCACAAAATAGAGGAAAAATCTGGGTAAAGAATGTGAATGTTTTATTTGTTTCCAAGATTTCATTATTTATAACAGGATGTAATTTATGACACAATAGACTGACACTATCATTAGCCTCAGCACTTGGGCTGCCATTCTGTTGGCTCCTGGTTGGCAGCTAAAGTGCTCGTCTTGGCGAACCTTTGCAATTAAGTATCCTGGTTTCACCACTGAGACACAACTACATGTTTTTCAATGGAGGTGACAAATGGACTTAATTTGCTGTCATTTTGTGGCTTTAACAAATTCCTGCCAGGATTCAATCTGATGCTTCTCATGTTTATGTTGCCTAAAGGACTGGATTGTTTTAAAAAAAAAAAAAAAAAAAAAGTTAAGAACATGAATGGCTGTTCCAAAGCTGACAAGTCACAGAGTACACATGTCTAAGGCATTACATACAACATGAAGTGCAAATTTTAAAGCCACAAAGTTTCCTTGGGCACTTTTATTGACAACTACTGATCATACCGCATAAGGAATCATAGAATGCTTTAGGTTGGAAGGGACCTTTAGAGGTCATCTAGCCCAACCCCCCTGCAGTGAGCAGGGACAGCTTTAACCAGATCAGGTTGCTCAGAGCCCCATCTAAACTCACCTTGAATATTTCTAGGGATGGGGCCTCCACTACCTCTCCGGGCAACCTGTTCCAGGGCTTCACCACCCTCATTGTAAAAAATTTCTTCCTTATATCCAGTCTAAACCTACCCTCCTTTAGTTAACACACATATTGACTAGAGATTTTGAAAGAACACCTTGAAACACTAAATACATCACATTTCCACAGAAAAAGTATTCAGCACATTTTAAAAATTTGGCAATTCTAAGTCCCTCAGAGTTGAGGACCCAACAAGCAATTAGTGTAAAGCCATCAGGTGTTTTTATTAAGACCTGAAATAATCTAATACAGACTAAAATATTGCCACGTGGGATCAAGTGTTCACTTTGTCAGCAGTATAAATTATACTTTATATTAGGATCCTTTGAGTTTTAAGCCCCATTTTAGTAAGGTATCAAGAAAACCGTGAAAAGGCAAAGCATGACATAGGCATTGAAGCTCAGACAAGACCTCTTGTTTTCACATCATGTTTTTCGATAAGACAGCATTTCGATACACCATTCCGATAAAACACACACCATTTCGATAAGACAGAGATCAACCATGAGTACAAAGCCTGGATGTGACTCTACTTTTATAAAGTCTGCTTTTATGGCAAAAATAATATATTTCTAAAGATGCCACGTAGTAGAGTTTGAGTGAATTAGTGCCCTGAGCAAAGACCTCTGGGTCAACTAAGCACCTTGCAGCCCATCACCTCCCACTGTGCACCTGGTCTCACTATGCCTCCTTCACCTCTTTCTTCCCCTTTATTTGAGCAGAGCACTTGTATGCTGGCCAGCACTCTCCTTCCTGTGGCCAAAGCCAGCATGGGTGGCTGCCAGAGGCTGGGGGAAGCGTGGCTGCCCAGCACCTTCCTGCGTGCTACAGCATCTCTCCAAAACACGGCACCCTCTATGCTGCCTGCTCAATGCACGCTGAAAGCTGCCCTTGAGATCACCTCCACTCATCTCATGCCATTTTGTCCAACAGAAATGCACGATGAATCAAATGAACAATAATTACAGAGCACAAAATGCTGTGGTAGAATTGCTTATCTTTACAACAGCTGATAAGACACTATAATAAGCATGCAAATCACAGGGAAGTGTGTGTTACACACACACAAGTAAAGCCCATTACATTGTAGCCTGCTGGATACCATTCAACAATATCTGGACTCCAGGAGCTCTGTTGCCGTTCCTGTTCTAAATAAAACAAATATTCAAGCTTTCGTTTAACTAGTTCATAGTTATGCTTTCAAGGGCTTCAACTGGATTTATCCTCTTATGGTTTTGGTGGAAACCAAACTATTTCTGAGCATATTCCTCTACAGGTTTTTATATATACTATGAAGAAAGAGTCAAGTCAGAGCTTCAGAGTCTCCCTAAACTGATATTTCCCAGGGAATATTTATATTAATCAGTTAATTGATGGATTACTGAATTTGTATTAGCCTTACTCCAGGAATGGGAAAGTAACCAAAACACCCAGGAAGTGTCCGGGTCTTGGAAAAAAAGTGCTTGTAAATGTGATCCTGTTTTGCAACACCAAATGTTGTCAATTGTCTGTATATCCAACAGGCTTACCTGCTCCAGAGGCAAATCTTTGCCTGCACAGTTTACTCATCTAACACCCCTCAAAGAGAGCTAGAGCTACATCTTTTTGTGTAGTTTTTTGCAGCTTTGAGACTAAAAATTGCATATACTTACACACAAAAGCATAAATTGACATTTCTAATTTACTGTACAGAATACTTTAGAAAACTGAAGTCTATGACTAGTGAAAGACCACTGTCACACAGATGGTCTCTGGCTAAGTTGGGGAAACAAGATACTGCAACAGCTCCCTTTCAGAGGGTGGAAATACCAGGATTTTGTCTCAGAGAGGTGAAGGGCCGTGGCTGGGTGCTTACCCTCACAGCCTTTCACAGCTCTACCCTCTCTTCTTACTTGCTTTGGTTTCTTACTCAGCTCTCCTCCACACTTTTTTCCTCTGCCAACCCCACTGCTTCAGAAGACCTGTTTTCCACTTTCAGAGAAAGACAGTAGCTTTGCTCTGCCCTAAACCAGCTTCCAGGCCACCACCTAGAGACACTGCATCATCACCATGATGATCACCGCATGGATGGTACAGGACAGAGGATCCCAGAATCACACAATAATGAAGGTTGGAAGGGATCTCTAGAGGTCACCTGGTCCATCGCCCATGCAGAGCAGGGCCACTGTAGTTCAGGGCCTTGTCAAAAAACTTGGCCATTTGGTCATCACAGAGAGAAGTAGGAAATCTGTCAAGAAACTCAGTGCTGGAACAGTGAGATTTCCACTGAAGCAGCAGAGGATAAATCCAGCTGAAATGATAGCTTACAGATGGGTACCAGCAGGTAGTCAGAAGCATTCAAAGAATCAATTTGTTGCAATGGCTGCAGTAAACATGGAATTTATTGCCTACATGCTTATCTACATGAACCACATCGCTGTGGCTCCCAGTGCAGTCTTGGCCTTTTACCTTCTTTGTACTTTGTTTCAAACTAGACTTCAGTTTCTTTTGGTATAGAATGTGCCTCCTACTTTGCTCAGCACCAACCACTGAACCTTTTTGATACCTAGTAGCATTAACACAGTACTACCACAAGGTTTTGGGTATATACATATGGTCAAAAGTATATAATCAAGCTGTGGTTCCCCCCGTCTCCAAAGGCAGATTGTATTGGAAAGAGCCAGCTGAAAATACAGTAAACATGCACATCAGAGTTTTGAATGCTTGTCTTTTCTTTCATGTTTCCCCATCCATCAGTTTGGAAAGGATGAGGTGGCATTATTAAGAATTCAGACTGTCCAGGTGTGTGACTCTCAACAACCTTGGGGTTTTTTTTTTCCCTCTTTTTATTCCTTATGCTGAAGCTTATTTACCTCTATTACTGTGAATGTCATTGTTGATTTTATGACAGAGAATCCAAAAGGAGAGTAAACGGAGGGATCAAACCATTGTACCAAAAGGTGATGCTTTCTCTGTTTAGCAAGATAAGAGTAAATGAAGAGGCAGAATTGCATACTTTAGTTGCAATAAGGTTTATCTTATTTTAGGGATCTTGAATGAGGCTGCCAGAATCATATTAATAGGAATGATGGTTTCAGAGGCTCTGGATATCTGTCTATTAAGCATTAGATCAAAACTATCAATTGATTTCACAGGTCTTCATATGATGAAGAGAAATGGCCATCAGCTGTTGCAAATATAGGTTATAACAGGACCTGAAGGCTGGATTTGAAATAGGAAAGAAAACTCCATCCCCATTGCCCAATCCCTGTTTTATTAGCTTCTTGATTTTTAAGACTCCTCCTAAGTTGTATATGATTGCCATGTTATAGAATACACTTTGTACAGATATTCAGCCTGTTGACTAAGGTAAAGATGCAGTTTTATCATTTGTAGTGTTGAAGACTGACAACAAACCTTCCCCATATTGGTCCACTAAAACTAAGAGGTAGCACTGCACAGGAACAAAATGCTGGAGGCGGTGCTTATGCAACTGTGCTAACGAGTCCTTTCAGAAGAGAGAGATTACCAAAGAATATTCCATATTTTGACTTCCTGGTAATACAGAATTCAGAATCTAATTACTCTAATGTTGGGATTTTCCTTCCAGCTCCAGAGGACTGCATTATGTGGACACTGACTTCTTCCTTTATTGCTAAATGGAACACACAGAATAGCTTTTGCCAGCTTTCCAGAAGTAGTTTGCCTGCAGCTGTGAAATGCATTTAACACATCTCTTAATTGCTATGTGAGCAAAAACTTGCTGGAATCTTCATACATGTGTGTCACAGATGATAAATAAAGTAAGATATGATGTAACGCATTGTAGCTTACATACTTCAGGAAATTCTTGGATCAATTAGGGAACACATTTGTTTTTCCTGGAATGCAAAACATGTAAGCAACCAATCCTTTCTTTCAAGACTTGGCTCCACCTCCTCTTTCTCCTTCCCAGAGTATTACATCTGGTCTTGATGGTGTAAAGATGCGTCTTACACCACAAGCCCAAGCTAAAGGCAAATTGATACAAAAAAAAGTAAGTAGGTATGTCTCAATCTTCTCCAGGTAAGGATAAAAAAAAATTTTTTGTTTTGTTTAGTAAGAGAGAAACCTGACAGGAATTTTCTAAGTTAGGAATTTAATATGCTGAGATTTCAGATGCGACAGTACAGTACCCAAATGAGTTCCCACTTTACAATAGTCACCCTATGGAAAGCCAAGCCTCATCTACTTTTGATTCTATAGCCACAGAATCTTGTGCATCACCCATCCCTGGTGGGCTTCTTGCAGGAGAACAGGGTAATATCCTAGGTCAGATTACTTTCTTTTCTCTGCATTTTGCGTTCTTCTTGTGATTTAACAGGTGGAAACCAAGAGGCAAAAATCAGTATCTACATTAGCAAAGCAGCACTGGATAGAATTTGTAAACCTCTGGGTCAAATTAAAACACAGGATCAGATCTGTGGCTGGTGTAAAACTCCATAGTCAAAGAGGAATCAAAGACTTTTATTGATCTAGATAAGCATCTTACGGTGGCATTGTTTGGCAATTGCATGTTATTCTATAAAAAGACAAATTTCTTTTCCTTGTAACAATGATGAACAATTATGCTACTATGTACAGAACTCTCTGTATTTAGGAACAAAACATTACTGGCACCTCCACTTAATTTTTAATCCAAACAAAGGAACTTTAAAAAAAAGAAGCACCATTCTCTTGATACCAAGCACTTTACTACAGACAACATGTCAGTTAGCTGTCCGTGTAACTCTCAAGGAACCTAGGAAAGAAATGGTTTCCCCGAAACATGAAAAATGTCTAGATTTTCTAAAACTGCCCCCACCGTCTCAAACTCTGCACAAACTTCCCTACAAAGAGAAGCCATTCCCTGCCTGATGATAAGTGCACTTGTATGGAAAAGGAAGAGCAAAGTCACTGGTGGGAGTGAGGTAGGGCAAAGGCTTGCAGAGATCCTTGTACAGCCCCAGCAATTTTCCAGAGACTGCACTTACCAGCTCTTCCAAACGACAGAAGAGGAAAGGAGAGGAAGGGCAGAGGAAGAGGTGGGAGGAAATCTTTTCTAACAAGAAATTCCTTCCTGGGCTTAAGAAACCTTTGTCAGTGAAAATTTAATAAAATGGTACGAAAAGTTTAAGTTTATTCAGAAAACTCCCATCCAGTGTAAGAGATTTAATGAAGACCTTCTGTGAGACATGAGACAACGCCTCAAAGGTTGAAATATTTCTAAACACACTGACACCCAGAAATCTTTTTTAAGAAATACTAAGTTGTTGAAATATTTCAAACACATTACAATAGTTGTAAACAAACAGAAAGCATCATCTACAATAACACTTTCAGAGCATGCTCGGATTGAGGTACCTTTTTTAAAGTAACAGCAATGTTTGGTGCTGTGACTCTGCATGGAATGATCATTTCTCTTCCTACAGTCATGTGTATTATTTTAGGTATATCACTGTGCATCTCTACAAATGGATTGCTTGTATCTGCAAGAGAAGAAAAAGAAAAGGTTAATATATGAACTCTTAAGACAATGCATGGAAATTGTAATGGTGCATACAGTCTTGAAAGAGCTGACTAACTCTGTCCACAACGAAAGCTAGACAAAGTCTTCAAATCACTCTCCTGTTTACTTTTATCTAAACAAGTTTAGTAAAACATTATCGGCTATTTGGAAATTTATCACTCAATATCAATAGCAGTACTTTAGTATCTCCTTTAAAATCCAGGAGAGGTAAAGTACATTTCTCCCATTACAGCATCATCTCTACTGCCGAGAGATGTGTTTCTTATTTCAGGGCATTTCTATTTTATTATCACCAGGAGGAATAATTAGATGGGAAGTGACTGAAATTCACTTATCAAGAAACCCTTAAACAGAACACGCTCCTGCTCTCTGCAAGGAAATTGATGAAAAAAAGTCACTTTGACTTCACCAGGAGAAAGAATCTACTGTGATTATCCAGCCATACTTTCAACCCTGAGAACACAGACTAGTGAGAGTTAATTATTCTTCTCCTTCCCACTATCACAATACCTATATGTCTCTTTTGTAAATGACAAGGTAAATGAAAATGCCAGGAAAAGATTCATTCCCTTCGACTCAATAACTAAAGCTTGGCAGAGTAATTCACCGTCCCTCGAACAATCCCTTTAACAAAGGGCATTGTCATAAATAGCTTGCACTGGGAACAGGGAACATTGCTGCTGCTGCTATTGTTTGGACCACTTAACAAAGAGGGGCTCAAGCCATAGGCTCTGCCTCCAAATCTTCTTTGCAGGTGTTCAGCTCTGAAGGTTCGGTTTGAGTCCCAGTGCAAACAGACTACCTCAAAATTCACATAAGGTTTGGCTTTTAACTCTTAAAAAAGTGGAACATTCAGACCTTAATTCCATGCTTACCTACAGCTCCAATGTTTTTTCAGGCATATCCTATTATTTTCACTCAGTCAAATATCTTACAAATAACAATGGCAATCTTTCTTGGAAAAGAAATGAGTAAAGCTAGCAAGAACTGACACTTTACAAAACCTTAACTTGCAATACTTTACTACAGTGTTCAGGTCCCAGACTGCATGTTGACCTATGTTCACTCAAGTAGTTCTTCAAATGCATTACTTTTGCTTCTCTTTCAAAAGTATGACCTGCACTTCCCAGTGTCATAAAACTGTTCTGCTCTTCAGATCTTCTTTTCTTATTATATGCAATAATATTTTTGTTTGAGACATCAAACAGGAAGAGAAGCAAATTCTACTCGAATTTCAACTGGGCAGAATCCTAAGGTACTGTATCTCAAATATACCCCAGGATACGGAAGAAGTTTTCCTAAAGAGGTTTAATGAAACAGTTACACAAACTTTCTGAAATGAAAGACTGCCACAATGCTTTAGTTAATAATAGGTGTTAAATGTCCGCTGAGATCGCAAAAGGAACTTATGAGTAATAGAGGATGCGTATGTAATAAAAAATACCCTAAGGACTTGTTACACTGACGTTTCCTCTGCAATATGATTCAAGAAAAGACCAAGAATGAACCTGTTTGTAGCATGGTGAAAAGATCCTTTTTTGTTTTTCAGGAGCTGCAGCCACAGAAGAGGTCACCTACCCCTTAACATCACCAGACAAACAGATTTACTACTCCCCAAAGACTCGTTCGTCTTTGTCACAAAATTAAGAGCTCCTGCCCAAAACCAGCAAGCTTTGCAAAGTAGCTTCCTGTATCATAATCTCCAGATCATTACAAGTGTGAGGAAGAGCTGTTCTGGGGACTACCGGTGCTGTCTGCAGACACAGTGTCACCACTGACTGATGCCAATATCGAGGCAGTGGGGGCTGTGTGGCTCAGACCTCACAGGATTCCTGCCCATCTGAAGGCAGGGACAGGAAACAAGCACAAAACACTACACTTGGCTTTTTTTTTTCTTCTTCTTCAATGGAAATGCACGTTCACGCCTGGAGAAGTCAATGAAGTGCTCTATAAAAGTCAACTGAACTCCCTGCCTGCTCTCGGTAGGCTTTAGAGCTCAGCCACAGCCTTTCTTGGTATACTCCCTGCAGTGGTACACCAAGGCGTCTCCATGCCCCCGCTATTCGCGTGCAGAGCTCCCATTGACATCACTGGGGACTTCCGCCATGGGCCGGAGGGCAATTGATGGCCCCAAGTGCTTCAAATGTCTTCCTGCTTTTGATTAAAAGGAATACACATCAGGTTTCCTAGCACAGTTTTGTGTTCATGATGAGTGTGGAGGCTTTTCCTGATTCCCTTTGATTTTATTCTCCTTCCATCTTAATGGCTGTAAGGGGATACTCTTGGTGTCTCAAGACCAGAATCTGGTGCAGGGTCTACCAGCCTGGATCAGGCAAAGCCAAATCCACAGCAGCACCAGGGCAGGTTATGCCACGTTGGCACGGCATGCCAACAACATGGAATCTTTCTGTCCCCCAAATGATAGCATTCCTTGCTTCTTTTTTCCTCATTCCCTCCCATCATAGCCCTAGCCAGTGGCTCCTGCTACATTTCCTCCCAATTCCTTCCCAAGGGGAGATAAATGCCATCCTTCCCTGAACAGCTGGCTGGTGGCGCATCTGGGATGACTTAACCTCCTGCCAGCAGTCTTCTGGGCCAGCTTCACTCATTGTTATGTTCAGAAAGCTCTAGTCATAAAAGGAACATCATGGATTGACCTATCTTGAAGACCACATCCAAGTTACACATTCAGCTCCATCGGGATTTGGAATGGAAGATCTAAGAGGTTTGACTTTGGTTTTTTTTTTATTTTTGTTTGTTTGGGTTTTTTTCTTTGCTTCAGAGCTGCCTGCAAGGGTAGCAAAATGAAAGATGGATAGCCAGAATACTTGCATATAATAAAGGTTACTTTAAAAGTCTGTTTAGTGTATTTTTAAATTGTGCCTGAAATTAACGACTGTGTGCTGGTCTGACTGTGTACCTTACAGTATCTCTCAGTTACAATCAACATGAAACCACAAAGAGCATTCATGAAATCACAAAATCCATAAAGGTCACTTGCTATATTGTTAAAGAACATAAATAGCAGCTTTTTATTAAGCTGGTTGGCAGCCAGATACAAACTTGATAAGAGACTTAACAGAAGCAATATTATGTCTGGTATCAGTAACCCATCTAGGCTATTTATGGGGTTTGCACAAACAACTAAATTAGCCAATACTGAAATGCCAAATTCAGAAAAGATGGAGAGGTTCTTTATTTCCACAAGCTTCAGCTACTGCTCTTGGGTTTGTTTTGTTTTTAACAATTTGAGCTATGAAAGTCAGAGTACTTACACATACATTTGCAAGAAGAAAAGTCTCTGCAGGAAGGTCTGAGCTCCTTGAAATCTCCAAAAGTTTGTCCTTGGAAGTTCTTCCAAAATACCTACTTACACTTGGCTGATCATTAAGATTTTTTCAGGCTAAAAGAGCCAAAACAATTTCCTCACATTCACATAACACCCTCTTCCCTCATGCACATGAAGAGGACCAAAGTCTTTACTAAAGTACAGACATGCAAACTTCATTAAAATTAATGGGCCAAATACCAAATTCCCCTTTCCATTGTAGGAATTCACTCTAAGTTTATTTATCCCAGCTAAATTTAGTAGGGCTGTTCAGCAATAATTCAAGGAGAACCTTCTACACCAAGAGTTGCTCTCATCTCACTTACACATCTAAAATATAGGCATTTCTCACTAAGCTAGGTGGCCAAACTGTTAGTGTGGTCACTGGGAAGAAAGGGGGAATTCTGCCATGGGACTCACCTGACCTATTTTAGACGTCTGTTTTACAATGAGATGAATCATGCCCTAGGAAAGGTACCTATTCAACCTGCTCACTTATAGGTGTTTATGTTCCTTAAGAAAAAAAAAAAAAAATCCCATTTTGTATGTCTGGAAGCACAACACATCTACAAGAAGGGCTTTTCCACTCTTGTCTCTTCTTAGCCTGTAAAATAGTACTCTTCAAATTCAAATGTTTTCTAAACCTTGAAGGAAGACTTGAGATATGAATTAAAAATCACAGAAGTCCGGCGGGGGGGGGGGGGGGAGAAAGGGGGGGAGAATATTAGGGGGGGGGAAGAAAGGAGTGGAATACTTTATATCTGGAGCACATTCAGACACAAATCATTGCTAGCATAATTGTACAGTGATTTTTAGGCGGGGTTTGTTTGTTTTCCTTTGGGGATAGTTATACTATGCTATCATTGACGTAGGTCCATAACACACATAAAACAGTTAAAACTCTTAAGGAAAAATATTCTTACCCACATTAGCCAGGAATTCACACTAGAGCAATTACTATATTTGAAAAGCAATCTCTAGAAAGGCTAATGGACATTAGGAACACTTTTTCAGATGTATCCCTCCCTCATGATGGTTTATACTGGAAATGTATTTCTGTTTCAGTAGGAGCTATAAGCCTTGGTCAGGAAGAAGGACCTTAGAGGATTTAGTGCATGGCCTTTGGTGCTGCCAAGGCATCCACACATGCACAGCTCACAGCATACTATAATGTGAAGTCCATGTACACGCAATGACAAAAGCACGGCAATTATAGGTGATTGACGTCAGCAAGTCCTAGAGGGCTCTGTTTTGTAACAAGAACCTCATTAGACACTAAAAATGCGTCCACATACTTGATACAGCTGTAGCATAGTTTAATTTCAACTAGTTTCCTTTTCATAATAGAAGTGCTATCATATTATTGACTCTGACAGTGTAAGCCAAAACCGTACTGCTCATATGTTAAAAAATACTGTGCCAAAAGCAAAGACAGAAAAAAGGCACAGAGGAGGAAGAGTTTCCCAGGCCTCAGCAGGTTCTTCTAAGCACATTATTTCTGAATAAGAAGAAAAGGAAAAAGAAGAAGAAAATCTCCCTTTCTGCCAGCTTTCAGGGTGTTTTGTCTCACTGCTTTTTTTCACCTGTTGAATTGTTTTGACTTTGACACTTCTGACCTTAAGAGACCCTTTTGGGGAACTCTTTTGATGTCCTCCCTGTTCTGCAACATAGTACCTTTAGGGTTACAGGAGTTGATCTATTCAAGCCAAATGTTAAATCCATGTCAGTTCTGGGGCTGGATCCAGCTATCTGTCAACAAGTGGACCTCCCAAGGAGGTACCATATGCTCAGCACTTGCAGAATACAGCTCTAGAGTTTGAAAATGCACTCAAAACCCTAGATGTTTTGGCACTTCAAAGGCTTACATTTTGAACTATTCACCAGTGTTAAAGCCCTTCATTCTGGACTGTCTAACCTCAGACACAGCTCAAGCCAAATATCCAAAACTAGTGGACATGTGTGACATTCCAGGCATTGGTGAGTACAAGTACTCTCAGGACTTGTACCTTTAGTTACCCAGCTCTGATTTGTCTCACCTGACTTAAATCATCTCAAAGCAAGACATCTATTGTAAGCTTGTTCTCCAGATTCCTTGTAAAGTCAGTGATGAGAAATACTTACTGGAAGGCCTTTTCTTCTATCTTTTAAGTACACAAAGAGAATAGACAACCGACTTAGCCTAGAGGTCTGATTTTAAAACAGAATATTTTGAATGGCGCTTGATTGAAGTACCAGTACGTGTCTACTTTGCAAGGAAAAGCATGTGGGCAGAAGACAGGCACAGTAGGAATACGAGGAGAGACAAGGAGAGGGAGAACTTTGACTAAGAAATGGGCTAATACCCTAAAGCCAAGTACAACTTCGCTTACAGAAAAATTCTCTGTTGCAGTAGAATTAAGACATTACTTTTGTATATTAATAGCTGAAAGCTATCTTCATCACAAGAGGTAGCAACACTTAAACTTGAATCAAAATTTGTTTAAATTATTGCAAAAATCTAACCTTGACATACCAATATAATTGAACTCATATACTTTTCCTCTGTCATACCACGGGAACAACTGATCAAAGGCAAGAGATGATGAGAGTAGAGAATGAAGAGAACTGCACATTTTTGAAGAAAGTGAATGAGCTCCAGCACCTGAAAAGGAGTGGCTTGGAGATACCAGAACAAAGGCAGGCAGAAAGAAAAGCCTTTAGCACTGTCCCCAGGGAAATCTACAACAGCCTGCTGATAATTTCATGTTTCTTAAATGTCTTTATTCCATAATTACCTCTTTTCAAGCAGAAAATTCCCCATGCCTCATTCCATTGTACACAGTGAGTACATTGATTTCATTACAAATCTTTGCATATTACTACTAGGCTTCGTTTGCATAACAAAACAAAGATCAGAGCAGCTTTTGGTCCAAGACAGTGAAGAAACTGGCGAAGAGGCTTTGCCTCATTTCAGATTTTTCCCATGGCTCGTGGTGGAAGTCAGACCATCAGTTTTCTTAGAGCAAAGTCCAAGGCTCTTAAGAGAATTCATTCCCCTCACTTAATGTCTCAATTCCTGAGCTGTGTGTGGTCAAGACTTGCTGTGGCACACGCTGCGCGCTCACTCCCCTGTGCAACTCAGTAGTGACCTCTCCAGCTGAAAGAAGGGTGGTGTCAGGACTAGCTCCTCAGAGAAACATCACCAGCCTGCCTGTTCTTGATCACCCAAAAAGAGGACTTAAAAAATACTTCAAGTCATCCTGGGGCACACAGGATTTGCAGTCTCCTTCTCATTGTCTTGCATCTTGTTTCTGTCCATAGAAGCTCATCTTCTGCCATAGCATACACTCGTTATTGAACCAAAGGACTTACTGGGGTGGTTTTTTTAGTGGGTTTGGGTTTTTGGGGTTTTTTTGTTGTTGTTTTGGTTTTTTTTTTTTAAATCCAGTTCATATTCAGTATCACTGTAATTACGGAAATGAATAACATTTTTAAAACAATAAGTGATGACTTCCTGTACAAACGATATCAACTTTCCTGGTTTGGATTCTGTCTTTGTAAATAGCAACTATTTGTTCTCATCTGCAGCATGCTAAGACATGGGAAACAGGCACCTCGGTGATCCACATGCAGCTAATATGGGAAATGGACTGACACAACGTCCTGCCACAGGAAACAATACAAAACTAGGAGGGACCCAGATTTTACAAATGTTTATTTCCTAAGCACCCACAAATTCATTTAAAATAAAACTAAACTCAAGAAAGGTAGTCTTCACAGAGGATTTTGTTATCCCCATCTCACTCCCACTTGAGACAGATAATTGCATTTCATGCATGTTCACAGAAACAATGACTTATATTAAAAGATTCCTTAAGTATTTTCTTTCCAAATGCTAGCACTACACTGATCAGAAAGGGTGAGTTTTGGTACTCAGTATCTTGTTTCTTTTTAACCTACTCGACAATTCTTCCTGAAATTGTAAATTTTTGGAGGACTAACACACCTTTCCCCACCTTAGGGCAGAGTGACACTTTCAACAGGCATTAAATGAGTAGTTACCTTGCAGCTTCCTCATTATCAGTAGTTTGTCCTAACTCTCACATGTGATTACTAGGACACAACCAACACATAAGTGTTAAGAAATTGGTTTTCAATCAAAAGGACTGTCAAATCCAGAAAATTAAGATGCCAAAGAGGTCTAAGCTTGATACAGCTTTGTCCCTTAAACATTTTACTGGTTTTTGGCAAGTAAGGTAGGAGGAGAAACATAATCTAATCCTATCTTCAACAGTGACATCAACATTTAATGACTGAATGTCCTTGAAAAATTAATAAAACCAAGACACTCCGGCAGTCTTCCTTACGTGAAGGAAGACTGGGGGGGGGGAGGTGGGAGTCATGGAGGGGCTGTCCAAAAATTATTTCTCCAATGATATGTTTCTCTTCCATCACCACGTGAATTAAGCAGATAACCTTGGTTCACATACATCTAATTGAGGATCTCTTTCAGATGCAAGCAAACTACATACAACTCAGGAAGCGGTGAAGACTTAGAAAGACTTGTATTTTCCATTTGTAAAAATTCAGGATCCAGAAAAATTAACACTTCAAACAGGAAAGAGACCAAGAGAACATAAAGGAATCTCTTATATCGTAAAGTGGGTTTAGCAGGGAGGTTCTTGGTCAGAGTCACAACCATCCTTGCTCTTCTCATGTGGTGAATGAAGAGGATTGTGGGTAGATTTCAGATAGAGATGACATCCAAGCTGAGAGGTTCAAAAAGGTCCCATGATGGGGAACTTGCAAAGGTTGTCCAGGAAAATTGTCAGTTTTCCTAGGCAGCAGGAAATGTTGGTCACAAAATGAATAACCTACTTTGGTTATGCTTCCATGGATGCATTTGCACTTGGATATCCAGTGAGTTATATGAAAATAGGTGGGTGAGAAAAATACTCTGCAGTATATTTCAGATGAAGGAAAGCAGCATGATCAACATGAATTATTCAATAATTCTCAATAAAGCAACACACAGTAATGGGGGGAGCTACCTTATTTTCTATCACTGTAGTGAGAGGTCCACTTCATTTTGCTTTTTCACAGCACCAGTCCCACTCTCCATGTCACAAAATGAAAACAAAGGCTAATTCACTTGGATGCGAACTCTTTAAAAGCAGCACACACATAATATGGAAAACTTCCAGTTGCACATTCCTTGTAATATGGGCTTTCAAAATCTGTGAATCCTGATGCCTTATAGTAATCTATTAATTTTATTCTGTAAAAATCAAGAAAAACTAAAGTATAAAATTAAATTAAATCCCTAAAGTGTTTATAATTTTTTCTTTTATTATTGTGTCTATTGAATTCAACTGTTCTGAGAAGTGTCTGATTAATATCCTGGAAGAAAACAGGATCAGAAAACAATTTCTGTTATAGCCTAACTGACCTAATTCCAGCATTTCCCATCTATTACACAATACTTGTTTGCTGAACGCAATTCTGTGTTTAGTTTGATTCCATTTATTCTAGATTTTTACAATCTGTGTAACATGGACTGCAGAGTACATTTTTGAATTTGATTTAACATGCAAATAGTAATTTTCTACAGCATGAAATAATTCAGTGATCTGGATAGACAGTTTTGGCATCCTTCAGCTGCCTAGAAATCTATAATCTTACACAGACAGGTTAAAGTGGACATTGTACCAGATATATGGCTTTCATCAGTCATCATCCGATTCTGTAAGACACGATTTCTTTGATACTCATTTCACAGATTCACTTCTAGTCTACTTCCATGTAGAGTTCTATTTACTTTAGTAGACTGGGTGGATTGGATCTTTTTCTTTCTTCATTTTTCTCCTAACAGATGAAACACTAGCATTTGTATTTGCAAGTTCTGAGAAAGCAGATTTTATATATTAATTGGTAAATTATCATGACATTTTGCAAGGCTGAAAAATTCATTCAAAACCCTGTATTTAACCACAGCTGAACTGCCTTATTTATCCATTTTGCTGTGTTAAAGTGAAAGTATCAAGAAGCGTTAAAAAATGTAATCTTACCGTTAATAAAGACATAGACTGTAGATTCCTTCTTCTTTTTTGCTGGACTTGTTGGGTATTTGCAGCTATAGTTTCCAGTGTCACTTGCTTGAGTTCTGCTCAAGGTCAGACTGCTACAGGACTGCTTCCCATTCCTTCCACAGGCATATTTAATTACTTTCAGCCTTTTGCTATCCTTACTTAGAGTTTCAGGCAAAGACCATGAATGAACCATTTCCCCCCTGCAAATACAGATAAGGAAGCAGAAACAATTATGTTGGGCTGCAATTATATAGCTCCAGTTCCCAAGCTTTCTTTTTTATTATATCAGGCTATTTCTGGCATTCTCTTTTATCTTGTTTTCCAAAAACAACAACAGAAACAACAAAGAACTATTAAACAATTGCCATTGAAGTTCACTCCCCACCTTTCCCCACAACATAAGGTTTAATTTTTTTCTAATTCCAGTTACAAAAAAAGAAAGTGTCAGGTGTATAAACTCCCAGCCAAATTATCAGAATCCAACTCAGCTGGTTACCTGCAGGTGAGATTTAAAGTCTGGCCTGCTTGAACAACGTGCTGTGTGCCATTTATGCTCAGTGCAGGAACTTTTAATTTTGATCCTGAACTAGATCCTAGAAAAGCAAAGAAAAAAAAGCATTAACAATGGCAAATCATCCTGTTCCCAGTCCACTCGCATTTATGATGTTATACTGGAAGGGGAAAGCGAGGAAAGTGGGATGTCCCCCTTACCACACATACTCTTTTGCTCTCAGAATAATCCTGCTATCCTGACTCAGGACTCACATAATCTTCCATGAGAATTACTCAGGAAAGAAAGTAGAAATGAAAGCTATGCAAGTTTCAGTCACTGACTTTGTCCTCAGATTGTTCACTGAGTGTACCATGAAGACAGTTCAGGACCTTGTGTCTACAGATCTAACCAAGGAAGCATGCCTTCAAACACCGCTGGCTGCATTTCCTTAGGAAACACCACCATGGCAGCCCCTTCAATGGGAAGGGCAAAAGTCAGCCACTTCCATGGCAAGAGCCACGCATTGACCTCTAAGACACCCAACTCTCACTCAAACAACTTGCTGCAAAGCTGGAACTGCCCTGGAAGGAGTGAAAGGAGATTAAGGATCTTCTCTTCCTGACTGAAGGTCACAGCACTGTTACCTACAGTCCCTCACTAGCTGCAGGCTTCCTACCAGTGAAGTGGTGTCAAAAGGTAACTGGACAGCTCTATAATAAATTTTGAGAACAAGTTCAAGGCACCCTCCGTACCAGACTTGCTGCTTATGGAGAAAGCAGGTATGCCAACGTGGCCCCAGTCATAGAATCATAGAATTGTTTAGGTTGGAAAAGACCTTTAAGATCATTCAGTCTGACCGTTAACCTAACACTACCAAGTCCACCACTAAACCAATTAAGGGTAGAGAAGTAATTTCATGTTTCCTGGCTTGGTGGCTGGATTATTTTTTAATGAAAGTAAAAACTAGGAATCATTAAGGTTGGAAATTATCTCTAAGATCATCATTCCAACTATCAACCCAACACCACCATGCCCACTAAACCATGTCCCAAAGTACCACGTCAATCCATTTTTTGAACACTTCCAGGGATGGTGCTGGGTGAAGCCCTTGGTGTCAGTATAACATGAGGTGGCTTAGAACCTTTGAAAACATCCCGGCAGTCTTTCACAGGTGATTTTTAGGAAGTCCATGAAAAAGCCCCATGGTCAGAAGACTAGAGGAACACCAGACTTTCCCTCTCATCAAGCCAGCAAGTGCTGGAAACGCATAATATTTTATCTTTGCCCCATAACAGGCTATAGCCGCAAAAGCTTTCATGGCAAGCAGACAGAAATGCATGCCTTAGAGAAGAGACCGTCCTTGAGCCATCCCATTGCCCTCACACTGCCAGCAAAGTGTTCCAGAAGCTAGGAACATAACAAGCAAATATTTTGAAACAGTTAAAGCTGAAAACCAGTTTAAGTCTAAATCTGGACCCAAGTGCAATTTATGAAGATTTCAGTGTTGTGAAAGAAGAGCAGCGAGTACCCTAGATCACTTTACTCCAAAGTATTCCTTTGTCAACATAGGAGAGAAGCAGCATCATGTAAACAAGGGTAATGTGGATTTTCCACTAGAATGCAGTCAAGTACAGTTTCAGTTTAGCTATTTTGAGCTCTTCCAAGAGGTCCCTGCTGCAGGCAAATATGAGCAGCTGTATGCCCCAAACAGTAGAAATACGTGAATCTTATTTGGCTGCTATGGATTGCCCACTGGAAATGCCTCCGTCTTTCATTGACTATAGAAGGAACTTTCAGACAGCAACTCCAGCTGAGGTTGGCGACAAAATTTCAGTTGTATAAACCCTCCAAAGTCAATGGCTGCTCCAAATTCAGCAGTGTTTACCCAGCAGCAGATGCAGCCTCAGATTAGAGGCTGAACGGCAAAACTTTGTTCTGAGATGCGGACTTGAACTTCTTCACTCTGAGCAAGGCCTAGAAGCTGTCTCCACTTTTGGAGCCAGATGCTGAAAGTACAAGGATTTTGTACAAAAGGTAAAGAGGTACTGCCCTCATCTGCTGGTTTTGGGGGTCTTTTTTGAGGAGCCAGCTGTGCTCCGTTTGTCAGTAAGCATTTCCTACTAATTCATTATAACATCAGTGGAGAGAAGAGACCTAAATCACCTTCTGGGACTACCTAGCACAACCCATGAAAAGAAGCAAATAGCCGATTAGGTCTTCAAAACTGTTTGCTAGAGGTCTTCAGAGACCTGTTTCTCTTCCTTAACAACATAGGAAATGTACAATGTAGGGGTTAACTAACTTTTAACTAATCTTTGGCATCTAAGTTAGTTACATTGATCTGCATTTTTCTGAGCCCTGTATATCTTATTTAAGCTGTGGCTCTGGTAGTTTTCCTGTGTATACTAACACCCATCCCTATTCAAAAGAAGGTTTAAAGGGTACACTTAAATATAGACATAAACTAAATTGTACTTCACTTAAACAGGCTTCAAGCAAGGGCATAACAGCTTTCCAGAATAAAGAGGTTCTCTGAACAGCACCACAAATATTACCAGAAATTTGAATAGTGATACTGTACAATTACGCAGACTTCCTCTGTGATTTGTCTAGATAATCATAATTCTAACTAGAAATGTTAAGATGGGAGAAAAAAAGATGCAGCGACTCTTTGAAGAATCAATTTGTTATGTGATATCTTGCAAATGTACATTTTTCTCACCTACCATTTAAGGATCTCAACACTGAAATGCTGGGTCTGCCAAATAGCACACTGTGCTTTTATGGGATAGCCTCCCATAGACGCTTATGATCTATGAGTCTACTCATTGGCAGTTCTGAACTAATGTCGCTGAAGCTAAACACTGAGAATTTGAGTTAAGACATTACAAGAGTTCAAGCAGCTTCTGTGAAGAGCAACCCAGGCACTTTGGTTGAGAGGGTTTGTGAATGTCCTCCAAATAAACAATCTGATGTTTCATGAAACCACCATGTTCCTGCATTTCATTCACATTCCTCTTGTCATCCCAGAATTGGAGGCTCAGATACTCCCCCAAGAAGACAGCGTTTATATCCAGCTTTATGAATCTTGTTCTTTACTTCAGGCCTCAAGCTTGCCTGAACTGCTTCTTATTTCAGGCTCTAGAAAATCTGAAAGCATGCAACAGTGTTTACAAACAGTTCAATATATATGAAAAAAAAATCAGTAATGGTCTGCCAGAGGAACCCATCGGGATCAAAGCCCAGCTGCTAGAGCTGCAACACTCAACCCAGTTGCTAGAGAGCAGCACGTAGGTTGCTTCCAGTGTAAAACTGATGGAAAGGTGGAAAACACATGTAAGTGACCTATGCTGAGAGCAAGGCAGTAAAGCAAGTCTGCAGTGCCTGGTCATCACTGCAGTGCTGAGTGCTCGGCTTTGCTCAGCACCAGCACTGGCACCAGCACCCTACCCAGGAGCAAAGCCAGCCATGCAGCACCATGCCCATGCTTGACCCACAATGGGACCAGGAGACCAGCCCTGGGAATGTGGGCTGCTGTTGTTTTCAAAGGCTGCCAAAGGTGAAGGAGGAGAAAACATTATAAATGCTACAAACTTTTCTCTTGGTAACTCTATGGGGCTATAAGCAAAGACATCCACATGAAAATCTCAAATCTATCTTAAATGAAGCATACAAAACAAGACAGCCTGGAAGCCTGTATGTCAGAAGATCTGCCTCAGTTATTAAAATCAAATGAAAAAAAAAAAACCCCAAACCCAACAGATCTTTTCACCCTATCCTGCAGGCTAAAAGAAACCCAGATGTACTGGATACATATTCAAGCTTTTGCGCTTTTACACATGTTATGTAAGAGACACTGCAGTATTTGTAAATATTGTGGGTGGGATCTTAAGGAGTGCTTAATGTTTGTCTAACTTTACTCCCATTGATATAAGTCAGAGTTTCATCATTGATTTCAAGTACATTTTAGACACTTAACTCCAGTAGTTAATCATATTAATAGTCAAGACCTAACATCAATGTATTTGGCATGATATATCAGATTTGTTATATATTCATTCATTTAGTTTTTCACTCACAAAAAGCTGAAGTAAAGATCCTGTTTCTAGCCAATATTGTTGCTTTTGCAAGTGTGTGAGACAATGCTTTTACCAGCAAGATGCTAAGTCTTGAAGAAAAATAGCTTTATTTGACATCCTATCTATTCATGGGTCATTAGCTCCCTTACATTTTTAAATGCTTCAAAACTGATGCAGAGTACAAACGCAATAGAGTTTGACATGTTTACCAGAAAAGAAAAAAGAAGGAGAATAGCAGGGAAATTCCTACTGTCAATATTTAGAAGCGGATTATGCCTTCTATGTACCTTCTCTGGGCATTTTACTTGACACTGTCTTTTCTGAAGGGTCATGGCTCAACAGGACACGTTCACTTATCATTGTGCCTGTCACTAAGCGACCATCAGCAGCCTACCCTCACACTGACCTACATTGGGGGGTGCAACTTCTTTTCATGTGACAACAAGAGAACTAATTAATCCTGATAACTGAGGAATCTCCTCCCATAGGGAAAGGGGTGATTTTTTGGGGGCATATTCTGTTTGTTTCGGAAGGCTTATTAGATACATTTGAAAGTCAGTCAACAGGGTTGCTTAATTAATGAGCAAACATTAATTTAGATTGCAAAAGTCATCCATTCTGTCTAAAATAAGGGAAGGAGAAATTTTTTTTTAAAGAAAGCAGAGGGTATAATATCTGCAAAGGAAGAGAAGAATGAACTTTCTTCAATTTTTTTTCTGCCTTGCAAAAAAGGCAATGCTCTTCCTGAATGAAGTAACCAAAAATTTCACAGAATCATAGAATATCTCAAGTTGGAAAGGACCCACAAGGATCATCGAGTCCAACTCCCTGCTCCTCACAGCATTAGACACTGATTATAAGTAATTAAAAAAAAAAAAGTCTATATTTTTCCAACATGCTGTGTGAGTCCAGTTCTACAGACTTCTGAATAACCATGCACACCTGATCAACCTACCACTAATTTTAGCTAAATTTCAATTTCTCTTAAAAGGATAGGTCTGCTGAACTTAAAATTGGGACCACATTCTGGATTATTTTCCCCACTCTGATTTTTCCAGCTTTTACTTTTAAATTTCCTTTTATACA